CATATGCGATGACGGCCCATAAGAGGTGGTGGTGTGACTTGGGATGGGCAATTGCCGACGCCCGTGCAAGCGTGTGTGTTTGTTTTATTTTAAGCAGTTCTTTATGAAATGAACGTAGAGAAGTTGATAAGTTTATTCGGGAAAACACTGTCAGCCGCGTGGCTGACAGTGTTTTAGCGCGCTTGCTCTTACCTAAACGACAATATAAGAGGATACCAGCTAGTTCGTAGTTTTCATCAATTGATTATCTGCAGGACAGTGATACAATAAAGCTTTGGTTATTCGATACAAAAAATAAAACGTATACTTTTTGCTAGCGAATAATATCCGCTCTTTCCGTCAGTGTATAACAACACAAAAGCGCTCAAAGTAGTGTAAAACAAACAAGCAAACGATATATGACACAAGTATGAGGCATGTCGTCTGGACTAGTTATGTACCATCTGGATTCTTTAAAGCAAATCCAAATCTAAGCTCGCGAGTGCGTCTGTATACATTTATTAATCACCTCCACGATATCGCGATTTCTAAGTGTCAGAATTCACTGACAGAATTTTTTCGCTATAGTGGGACCAGAACCTTACAACAAAAGATATTTCAACTACAACTAAGGCTCGTCGCATAAACGATAAGCAACAGCGCCGCAGTAGGGTCCGTAGCCGCAATTATGCACCTAGCAACAGTGTGTTCATGGCGTATAGAGTCTTGTTTTCGTTTACCATATTCCCTAAAGCTCTGCATTCCCGCAATACCTACCGCTCCTCGTGTTTCGGATGACGCCCAGTGCACTTTACGATGTGCTGCAACTAAAAGTGGCTCCTACACTATTGAATAAGCTAAAACCTTTCTATGCCTACATTGAAATAATCCCGACGACGTTACACATCAATATCGGCAAGCACATAATCTGATCTTATTGCAGTGAATATACAACCGAGCACGGCCAAATGCTTCTGTATATCGTGCTAGGGATACTTAAAAGCAGTTAAGCTTTAACAGAGCGGGACTAACCGCCCTTTGGGGATGAGCGCGACGTTAGCGCACATGCTAGCTTTGCTTGCGCGGCAAGCAGACGACGCAGCAGTGGCCACCAAACGGAGCAGAACGACGACACAGAGACAAGAAGAACACGAAGGACACGTTCTGATCTCGCGCTATAACTATAGTCATGTGAGACCGCGCTGCTCTCGACCTAGGCGACGGCTCCAGTGCCGACGACGTGGGACATAAAGACACACCTACTACACACAACGAGATTACCAAGTATTACTACATGGCGAGGCGGACATTCCCAATGCCACATTCAAAACTCAGTAGAGCACAGGCCGTCTCGTTGCGCTTACTTCAAACCCATTCGTACTCGTCGTTAGCATACCTAAATGCAATTTATCCTCACAAATTCCCCGATGCCGCCTGCGCCGCTTGCGGGCAGACCGCTACAGTTAGCACACATGCTCTGGGAGTGCGGGTCGCTTGGACCGATTTATAGCAAATCCGAGTGGGATGCGCTTCTGCACAGCCCAGAACTTCATGACCAAATCCTGGCCGTCCAGTGCGCCCGCGACAGGGCCGTCAGGCTAGTCCTGCCGGTCCCCACGTGGGAGTAGCCGGGTGACGCGTGGCAACCTCAGCGTCTGCACTGGACCATAATAAAGTTGTTCTCACTCACTCACTCATAGTCATGTGATACCAACTAGCCCAAGCTGCCCCACCAAACGGAGACAACGTAAAACTCCACTCGATCTCGAGGCAAGATTGTAGCTAGCCTGCTGTAGCCGCTTCCAAAGCCAATTCACTTCATTGGCGCAATGGCGCCTCTGTGATTGGCAGCGCCAGGGTTACCAGGTTGGGCTATAAATGACCAAATTGGGCAACTTTTTGTTTTTCGAGTTGGCGCGAGTTTTCATCTTTGGCTCCGGGGGTGTTGAAGTTGTAGCGGGACGCGAAGAGAGACGTGAGATGACGTCGAAGGCGGCCGCTGGGGCTGTGCCGATCTCGCCACTTTATTGCAGGCCTGAAGCGGAGCCACGTCGGCTACCAGCGTCCGCCACGCCAGGCGTGTCAGCTCGTTCTCATTCTCGCGCAGCTCGAGCTCGCGCCAGCTGCGCGAGAGACGCGGCGCGGTGATGGAAAAAATGACGATGGTGATGATGGCACTACAGGGCTCCCCCCCTAGCGCTTTGCGCGATTTGAACGCATATGAAAAAAAGAAAGAGGGCGACAAATGCTATGTACATGAACGGCAGTCCATAAAGTGTTCATTTGGCAAGTCCAGGTTGTCAACGTTTATAGGCCATCGGTAAGCAGTGTGTCTCTGGTGGGCGACTCTGGGAGTTGCGCAGAGGACGCAGGAGGAAGTGCCGGGTCGCTGTGGCAGCCGAGATGGCGCAACTCTACCGGGAGGGCGTCGAGAAGAATGGCGTGCATCTGCAGCTGGTCCGTAACGCCATTCAGCGCAAGAACGGCGTCGAGCTGCATAAACCATACCTTGGGGTAGGTCGATTGGAACGGCGGCACTGGCGGGCAGAGTTGCGGGAACATGGCAGCGGGCCGTTCGGCGAAGGGCGTGTTCTCCGGGTCACCAATGTAGCGACGAGAGAAGAGAGACGTGAGATGACGTCGAAGGCGGCCGCTGGGGCTGTGCCGATCTCGCCACTTTATTGCAGGCCTGAAGCGGAGCCACGTCGGCTACCAGCGTCCGCCACGCCAGGCGTGTCAGCTCGTTCTCATTCTCGCGCAGCTCGAGCTCGCGCCAGCTGCGCGAGAGACGCGGCGCGGTGATGGAAAAAATGACGATGGTGATGATGGCACTACAAAGTCATACAGTTGGCCCTATGTCGCTCTGCAAGCTGTGCGTGTCCCACTCAGAACAGATGAAGGAAAAACGGAATGTGCCGGCTCTTAGCAGTCGTGCCGCGTGTCAGTGTCGCTAAGTCGTGTCCCCCCCCCCATTCCTTCCCCCATTAACAAGAAGCAGAGAGTAAAGACTTGCTTTTTTCCCAATCCGGAGTTACGAGGCGGCACGTTCAGAGTGCAGGGGAGGGGGGTGCAAAGAAATGGAGCTTGGTCCTTTTGTCGATGCATCGGGACGCATGCCATCGGGACCATGGAAGAAGGAAATAATTGATAGAGGCACAGACCATAGCGCAGTAAGAGTGCCTTTCCAAAAGCACAACTGGGCAGACATGCTGGTGTGTTTAGGAATTAAATATCACGCTCAGTAGGGTGTCAAACTCGATGCTACCAAGCAACGTAAGGGATAGGCTGGTCATCCTTCCTTTACCGAAGAACATGCACCCCGAATACCACAGGGGTAGACGGGGAAAGAGCACAGGACATACAGAAAAAGTATGGAAAATGTAATGAGGCAGTGTTCGTTGACGCGGCCAGGTATGCGCACAGGCGTGGCTTCGTGGCCGTTGTAATAGATCACCAGAATGTTTGCAAGACTAGCGCCACGGTACGCACGGAGCACGTGGAGACAGCATAGGAAGTGGCTATCGCGCTCGCAGTGGCCACCATCAACGGCCGAAGTGGTTATCAGCGACTCTAAGACGGCAGTCCGCAACTTCGCCAACGGCCACGTCTCTCCCGAGGCGTTACGAATTTTAATTGCGGTCCAAATTGGAAATAGTGATATTTACGTATTATGGGCATCTGCCCACACTTCCTCGCTCACCGTCCTACGAGGCGGCGCACCGGGCGGCTCGAGGGCTTAGGGCCGTTCCACGCGCTTCCCGCACAGCCGCAACGCACGTGCCGGCACACCTTCCGCACCCAAGCAGAGGGTGAAAGAGCGTCGCCCATTGGCTTCTTTGTCCCCCGCTCGCTTGCGGCAAAAGGTCTCGACACGTGCGTTGCGGCTGTGAGGGAAGCGCTTAGAACCGTTCCACGCGCTTCCCGCACAGCCGCAACGCACGTGCCGGGACTCCTACCACACGCAAGTGGGGGACAAATAATCCGATTGGCGACGCTGCGGAGGGGGAAAGAGCGTCGCCAACTCACTTAAGTGGGGAACAAATAAGTCAGTTGGCGACGCTTTTCCCCCCTCAGCAGCATCACCAATTGGCTTATTTGCCCCTGCTTGTGTGCGGTAGGGGTCTCGGCACGTGCGCTGCGGCTGTGCGGGAAGCGCGTGGAATATGGACCGAGCCGCCACCGCCACCGCCGCGGCCGCGACGTCGGGTTAGCAACGGAAGTGGGAGGATCGCCTCACCATGCAGTTTTAAAGATATTACCCAGCGTTACAGATCGGCCAGGCGCAAATTTCCGCCATCACACCAAAAACTGAACAAAAAGCAGGCGGTCACGTTAGTGACAGCTGCAGTACTAAGACGTTTCCAAACCCGGTGATCTTAAATCTCTTTTAACCAGAGCTTTATGCGTCGCGCTGCAAGTCTTGCGAGGCCAGAGGCAACCATGCTATGGGAGTGTGGCAGAGGTGGGGCTCCAGACGGGGACGCAGCCTCGAACCGAACGCTCTGGGAGAGTGCTCTGCTCAGGCCATACCCTCGAAGGCCAACTGTGGGCCGTCCAGCGGGCCCAGGCCGCCGCCAGAGCTCAAGGGCTCGTGGCCAATACCTAGGCGGGGATATGTGCCCAGATCCCTGAAGCAACTCGCCGGATGTTCTTTTTTTTTAATAAAGTTGCGTCCCCCTCTTCTCTCTCTCCTCCATGATCGAGACAGCACACAGCTTGCTTCTCACTGGGGAGGGAACTCTCACTTATCCTGACACAAGTTTTTCATGTAACCACATTTTTCCTCTTGTACTTGTTTCAAGTGCTCGATCTGTCTCTTAATACATTGCATATTTGTTTTCTTCGTATGTGAACTCGCTTTGCCTCACTTGATAATACATAAAGGCGTTTTATCTGTATTTCTTCTCTTTGGGCTATTTTGGGCGATTTTTATGAGTGGCGTTTGTCTATTTTTGGGCTACTGATGGGCCTGAACTTGGCGGGTTGCTTTCCGAGAACCTGGCAACCCTGCGGCAAGCTAAGCACCCGTCTCAAAAGAAACAAGTGTCTGCGAGTGCGCGAAAAGAAGTGCGACTCGTACCGTTGTGTTATTTTCGTTTGTCTTGTACGGGATGGCAGAGTCGAAGAAACGCGCCAGGCTGACACAGTCAAGGCTGAGTTTCCCAAAGTCTTCGCAGTCATCCGCGGTAAGCCACCAATTTGACTTGACAGAGAAGACATTACTTGGGGAGTTGCTCTTCGTCAATGAGTTACATTTGTCCGCTCTCTTATTTCAGAAACGCGGAGATGCCGAGAAAAGCGGGTCCAGTGTATCTACGGAAGATCTTGAACGTATGGTGAGGAAGCTGTCAAGTTCGCGTAGCGCTTTAAACGTATTGCGTCACGGCTAATCGGCTGATGCTACGGTGCATGTACCGCTTTTCTGCGAATTATTCGCGGGCATTAAACGACCATATTCAACTGGCTCAGTTACGTATATCGGAATGTGAAATGTTATGAACGTAAGTGCTGCATTTCTCGTCTTTTCAAGGTTAATGACACAGTCTACTACCTTTTGATCTCGGACCAGCACAAGGAGGCTATCAAGAAGAAAGGTGCGGGCCTTCTAATTTTTCTAAAGATCGCTCATGAGTTGCTTTCTAGAACGCGGTTACGCACTAACACTAACGCACCCAATCGAAACGCAGTTCGCACCGCATAGTTTCAAATGCGTTGCAGTTAGACGACCCATGAACGAAGAATGAACTGACCGAGTTATGACAGGTTATAGTTATGACAGTAAGACGATAGTCTTTTTTGGGGACCTTCGATGCAAAACATTTTTATTTTGCTAAACTGGTACTAGCATGCGACGCACCTGTCATATTTGCAAGCGTAAACCAGTTCTAGTTTTGCTTAGTCTATATGGCATGCATGTACAAAATGAAAATATATATATATATATATATATATATATATATATATATATATATATATATATATATATATATATTCACCCTCACACTTGTAGCATAAAACTTTAAAAAGTACAGTTTAATTTTACTGTGTTAGTTTCTCCTGGAGGCTTCAAAACATGTACAAAATTGCTGACCCGAAGATCGCGGAATCGAATCCATGCTTTGGTGACCGCATTACAATGGAGGCAAAAAGGGAGAGGCCTGTGTGCTTAGATGGAGGCACTCGTTCAAGAACAACAGGTGGTTAAAAATATTGGAACCCTCGACTACAACGTCTCTCACAATTATATAGTTGTTTGGGGATGTTAAATCTCATGAATTGTGTTATTATTATTACATGATTGTCCAGCATTGCATCATGCATAAAGTCTAGAAGAGAGCAGCGTTTCGGACCATAGATCAACTTCTGTAGGTCTAGCAGACTGCTGGGGGGAAGTCCCACACGCTGTAAGTCCTCCCGCAAGCTGTTTGTGGTCCGCCGCAGTGGTGTAGCGGTCAGGGGGCCCGGCTGCTGACCCGAAAGTTGCGGGTTTGATCCTATACTGTGCAATGTCGGTGCACATAAAAGAGCACCACATGGACAAAATTTTTGAAGCCCTCCAGTACGGCATTTCTCATAATCATATTGTGGTTTTGGCACGTGAAACACCAGTTGTTATAATTATATTATTAAACAAGTTGTTTGTGGCCCAGGGCAGGTCCCTAGATGATGACACCAGCTAGCTCTTCGCACTGCTTCGGAACAGAGAAGCAGCTCTAAGCAATTTCAATGTTGTACCACTTGGTGCGGATCGACGGTATAACAGCTGCACTTGGGCGAACCTTTGGAACGGCACCTTCCTCTCAATTGGGTTCAACTGCAAGGCTATGTTTCTGGTAAAGCCCGGTGTGCTTCCTGTGCTTTGAGCAGTCTACCAATGTGCCGGTACGCTGCGGTCTTCTTGTCTCCCAGTTACAGTGGCGTAAATAAAGCAGAGTCTCAGAGACAGGCATCGTCAGGGTGGCCATTTTGTTTGTATAGATGTCTCATTTCTAATTATATAAAAATTCAATTAATGTTTATTTATTTATTTATTTATACAATACTGCAGACCAATTTAATGGTCCAAGCAGGGCGGGCAGAAAAAAGAATGTTCACGCACATACAATGCAATGCAATGTAACAAAAACAATGAAGCCAAGAAACGCAGAATTCACTTGGGACTACAAAATAAACAAGCCACGGTGAAACCGACTTTTCGCACAAACATAGCAGGGTTTCAATCCAAATAAAACTAGAAAATCACGCACAACTTCAAGAAACATTGCTAAAAACCCGAACGTCAGTAATTAAAAGTTTCTAAAATGATCGTGTAGGGCTGTCATAAAATTTCCACTAAAAATTCTTTCTGGCAATTTATTCCAGTCATCTACCGTGCGTGGAAAATATGAAAACTTAAAGGTATTTGTTCGGGCAAAGAATGGGGATAAACTGTGGCTATGTGTGTGTCGTGTTTTCCTCGTGGTGGACGGACTAATGAATGGAGTGGGTGATAATCCAGTTTACACTTAATTAGGGATTCCATAAAAGCTAAGCGGGCAATTTGGCGTCTAATGTGTAGTGGTGTAGTGGTTGGCGTCTAATGTGTAGTGGTGTGTAGTGGTTTGAAATAAAAGTTCTAAACTAGTGTTGATTCCCAGCTCACATATTTGCATTGTGCTGCTCAGTCTTCTCAGAAACCGGTTCAGATTTTTCATACGGCCTGACACAGCTGAATGGTGCAAAACACAAGTACACACTTAAAACTAACAGTCGTTAAAGAAAAGGCTGGAGAGTCAGGAACCCCCAGACACCACATGGCGGTTTATGCCACTGCCCAGTCAACTGAATGATGGCGGGCGAACCCTATTGAAAGATATTCGTCCTGGTTTCAAATCCCGAACAATGATAAGATTTCGCTCAACTGCAAAGCTTATTTCTCAAAAACTCATGCATTTTTTTTGTAGCATTATGGTGTAAACATGTAAATGAGAAAACTTTTTTCTACCTTGTCAGCTTGCGGGGAAATGGTTTGCCATGTGGTATGTCTTAACACTCATGTATGCTTCTTTATTTCAGACATACAGAAGCATGTCCTGAACAACAGTGGAAAAGTAATGCGCAGTGTGCTTGCCTCGGCTAAGAAGAAACTTGACGAAGTAAGTCTGAATTGCGAGCAAATGCCATCGCCGTTAAGTGTTCTGCATTGGTATTTTATCGCGATTGCGTTTCCATGACCGGGGCATTTTTTTTAATGGTACAGTAATACCTCGTTAACTCGAAGTCGTAATAACTAGGAGAGTTTCTAGATAAACAGATTATTGAGATGAGCAAAGTTGCGCTGATCGCTGGAAAAAATGAGCGCTTTTCAGGAAAATCACTACTACTTACCCGCTTTTTAGCGGCAGTCTCTAACCTTTCTTCTCGTGCAGGTTTAATAGAGAAAAAAGTAACTTACGAAAGACTTAATCGGCTGGGTTTGGCTGGACTGCCATAGTATTTAACGTGGAAAAACTGCCAAATGCTCGTCTGCTTTGCGGTCGTACTCGGGCCTAGGAAGGCGTGCTCCAACTGCTTGACGCATCGCATCAGTCGATCTTCTCTGCCGCTGCACTCTACTTTATTTCGAAGCAAGCTCTGCAAATTTCTTGTCCCGGAAGACATCGGCACCTCTAGAGGTGGTTCGTCATCGCCGACCCCTACAGTCAGTGGCCGTTTGCAACTATTTTGGCGTTAGTCGTTGCTCCGGTCACCGCCACATCCTGCTCACACAGCGTGTACTCCAGAAAACTTGCGTAATTTTCGGGGGCACCGTTACCGGCACCGTAAGCTTGATGACCTCTTGATAGAGTTCCGTCACAGTCCTGTCGTCTCTGCTTCTGGCAAACTGGCGGCACGCGAAAAGCCAGCGTGCGCAAAGCAGTTGGCCGATAGCTGCTGCGCGAAGTTGCTGCGAAGCGCTGCTGAGGTGGTGTACTGCTCCCAGCAGGTCAATTTCGTAGCCTTTGCCTGTTTTCATAAGACAATAAAATTATGCAGAAAAGGCTCTCTCAGTAGAATTATTCGGGCCACTTCGATGACACCTTGGTCCATCGGCAGCATAACAGATGCCAGTATTCGCTGGTAGACACTCAACTGTCGCTGCCTCCAAATTCTCTATTTAGCTGTCGCTTGGGTGGTTGCGGACACTGAACAGAACTTTTCTGTTTTTGCTGGCCATCTTGTTTCTATAGTGCGAACGTACTCTTCAAAAAGAGTAGCACTAATCCACGCTACTCTATTCGTGCGATAGATAACGCTATTTGGCATTCGTGCATTTCTAAAACACCTATGCTTAAGGGCTTTGCTAATTATGAGTAACGGCAGTTTCGCTTTACCTGCAGCATTTGTCCCGAAAAGGATAGTGACCATGTCCTTCTCTTATTCTACTCCCGAGCACGCTCCACCCTTGGGTGTCAAGGCGTGGCTCGGCAACATTTTATAAAAGAAAGCGCTGGCTCGTCAAGGTTGAAAATGTCTCTGTCAGCCTAACTTTCCCACAACTCAGCGAGCCGGCTGCTCCACCAATTGTCTGCAGTGGCTGCGTCGACTGTCTCACCGTGCACCGGCTTGGACTCCACACTGTTCCTTTTTTTTGAAGCGGTCAAACCAGCCACTGCTGCAACTGAAGTTCGTGCGCCCTGTTTGCAAAGCCAGAATGTGTGCCTTCTCCATCATTATTGTTGTGGTGACGGGAAGGTTGGCTGCTCTGACATTTCACAGCCATAACATCAACACCGCTTCAACGTCTCGGCTCTTTGACCTTGGAACCCGCTTACGCTGGCTGGAGAAGCTGTGCTGAAATCCATCCAGCATCTTCTGCTTGTTTTTCAGCACCGTCGAAAGCGTGGCCAAAGGGATGCCGAATCCCTGCGCGATGCTTGATTTTATTAGGCCTCCCTTTCTCCTCTTCCTTAACTTTTGCTGCTTTGACGCCATGCTCGCCGCACTCTCGCTAAGTTGCCACTCCTCACAGTCAGCGAGAAATCTGTACAGCTCATTTTGCACAGATGAACAACAAGTCACGCCTCAGGGAAAAATCACGAGCACTACTGCACCGACAATCAGGGAAAAATTCGTAACGTGTGGTTTGTGTAGATGAATGGAAATCGTGCCTCAGGGAAAAGCATGTGCACTTGACACAGTGAACGAGACAAATTACGCCAAGCATGGGCAGATGGCTTCCCTGCTCAGCACGTTTGTCACATGACGTGCCGCAGGGTTTCTTGACAAAATTGATATGTCGTTGGGCTGAGACTTCGTGCACTTAGCGTTCGCTGAAAGCATTATCGTGGTGGCAGGCATGGCTAAATAAGAATAAAAAAATTGACGGACTTCAGGCATGGCAGCATAATGCGAATTGTGAAATAGTCTGGCGGCGGAATTTTCGCTCCACACCCAGTCAAGATTTTAAGTTATCCGCAACCCGACCCAAAAATACTGAAATAAAGGCAAAAATATACATGGGGCGTTTAGAAATATGTTCGGTGCCACAGAAAATTAGCCCATTTTTCAAGATATGCGAGTTTGATAAACGAGGTATTACTGTGAATGAGTCAAAGACCATGTGACAGATAACACTTGCCAAAGTACTTGACAAGATAACTCTTGGGATGACGAAAGCATTTGCAGCTTCGAAGAAGACAAGTCCGCTTGTCGAAATGTGGGCTCCAGCCCACACTTCTTGTTTACGATTTTTTCATTGCAAGCTTTCGTCTTCCTGGGACTCCTGGCTCTTTTTTTTTTTTTTTTTTTTTGTAGTAACACTTCACAAGACTGAAAACAAGAAAATGCGGGGGGTGGCGGAGACTGAAAACAAGAAAATGCGGGGAGGTGGCGGCGATACCTTAAAAGTTCCCACATCCAACTTGACAAGTTGGCCTGGGTTTCGATCATATCAGCAAAATTTCGTCAGTTTGGATATTTGCTAGTTAAAACGAGTTGCATTGGGTTCTAAGGGAGCTATGAGGGGAATCAAGTCAGGCTAAAATGCAAATCTCTCGAAATTTTGCTGAACCAGTATATGGCCAACACGTTAAAAAATACTCTGTAATTCGTGATGTTCCACTTACACTGAGATGCTGGGGCTTGGGAATGAAATTTGAAAGTGAGATGCACTTTCTCTTTTGACATTGAACCTATGTTTGAATACTTAATGACAGTAGAAGTTTAGTTTGAACTATAAGTTAAACCTATTAGTTTAATAGTTTAAAAATAAACGATTAGTTTAAAAAAATGATCCTGACCTATAGTGTATGAAAGCAAACAGATATTTGCATGCTGAAGTAGTCTTTGCCTATACAAAATGAATTATCGCAGAACATCTTCATAAGCAGCTTTACTACTAGGATATTTCTATGAAGAGATACAGCAATAAATCTGTTGTCGAATGTTCTTTTTGTTTGCTGCTTGGCGTTCCGCGGCAGCCAGGGAAATATTCAACTCCCTTTGCACTGGTTGAGGTACAGCTGCACGAAAGACGACCATATAATGACCATGTTCATGTGAAAAATGGTAGTGATTGGGTGCCCATACCAACTGACTATGTATTTGCTTACGAACCTAGGTTTTTATATCCCTGGCGTATTTTTTACACGGCGAGCTGTCAACAACTGTATGAGTTATTTTCCGTTTTCTCAAGCTTTAGCCATACCTCAGGTTAAAAAAAAATGCTTCTGGCATGTCTGCAGAGGCATTGGGACTGCTAAACATACCGTGCACCTTTCGCTGTTGGTTGTCACTTTCCTTGCAGATTACAGGAGAACATGTTTATGTAATGTAGTTTTTTTTTCTCAGGTATTTGGTTACGAAATGGTTGAGCTTGACGACAAGCAAGGCTCAGTGATACTTGTCAGCAAAATCGACCTTTCTGACTACAGTCAGTTCCTAAGAAGGTAAGCATACTTTTCGACCTTGCTGCAAGTTGTACAGGTGTCATCCTCATAAAAGAGAACATGAAACAGCGTGGCAGATAGCCTCGTACTGCAAAAAATATGCATATTATTCGAGGGTGAGACAGCTGCGCACATTGCGCATTTCTTATGCGATTTCGTTTTTCTGTGCCAAGCTTCTGCAAAAGCATAAAGTTGCAAAACTTGAACCGAACTGCTCCAGAACAGCCTCGAAAGCAAAAATTCTGTGCCTGCGTCTGCTACAGTGAGAAAAAGCCTAGTTGACATGACTTTTCAGGTATGGACACTAAGAAAACAAGACAGTAAAAATACATAGACGTGCCCAAGCGTCTCTCGTTTATACACCTTTTTAATGAGGGCTTCTATGGTGCCGCCATAATCTCCTCTGCACTGTTGTAAATATGCGTGACCCGCCCCTCCGAAAATTTGGTGCCACTCCATGAGAATGCTGCTTCCACTTGCTCAGCTCTGGCATGCATGCCATGGTTGACTCAGATTTGCTGTTGTGTATAGCGTCATCATCCAGTTCCCATGATTTTCATGTTGACGGTGCCGATCACGCATTTGCCACGAGAGTAGTGTTCGTGCAGTTACGTGCCACACCGTGCAGGTATGAGGTGAGAATCATATTGCGTGAATGCAGCGACAACCGGCTTCCCGCATACGACGCGTATCTGCGATACTCCAGTAGAGTGGCACGAGAGGGCGGCAGCGGAGTGACGCGAAGTGCGTTTGTACACTCCCCTAGTTTGTATGTCACTGCGGCAAAGTTTCTCGGCCCCCACACTGCACTCTTGAAGGTGGTCTCGCACGAGATGGCAGTGAATCACTATTCAGTGTGCTATTGTTGTTGCTTTTCAGAAGCACGCAGCACACTCTATTGTTGTTTCTTGTTCAAAGCATGCGGTACACTCGATGTTATTCCAGCCACATGGCCAAGCAGATAGTTAAAGGTGCTTACAATGATGTTCTCCTGACAAGGAGTAAAACTGACTTACAGGAAGGCCTAGGGAAGCTTAAAAAGCTAAATAAGCGCAGACATACAAGAAGGCAAAGTAGTAGTCTGCTAAATCGTATTGCTGTTGTTGAGCAACGGCCTACTGTAATGTAGCTACTGTTCTTATGCAATTAAATTTTAATTTTGTCAAAAATGACATGCTTTCTCACTTTTCTTTTTTTTTTAATTTTCATCAAGTGAACCTAGTAGTTTGCAGAATATTTTTTCTATGATTTCACATGTTGTGTTTTACTCTGGCTAGAATAGGTCATGTGGTATATAATGCAGTAGTTTATTTTGTACCTGGGAATAATCTGCAAATAATCTTTATTCAAAAGCTGTCTCAGTGTTATGTGTGTTCTAATTAGAATGTGTACTTGTCTCCACAAGTTGCCACAATTTTTTTTTCAGGCTCCTAAGATGACATATTAAAATCACACAAATTGCTCCAAATCAGTGTTCTACCGCAAGCGTGAGATTGTGCTGCTCCAAAAACTGCTTCCATATTAACTTCAGCCTTCTCGTCCCTGTTGTTCGTTGAGATTTTCTGTCATTGTGTGCTGCAGGAAAAACTGCTCTAAATTGGAATTTTTTCCTGTGCAAACACAGTGCATGCTTGCTTTATAGGTTGTGGGCCAAATTTCAAGTTACGCGGTTGATGATCTTATTTATTGTTTCGTAAATTTCAGGAGTGACAAAGATCTTGCAAAGCAGGGTCTCATAATCATTGTCTTGGCTCTTATCCTCATGAACGATGGAACCGTTCGTGAAGGTATGTTTTTTTCTTTGTTTTATGATACCGTATTTACCCGCCTAATCCTCGCACTTTTTTTTTTCGAAAAACTGATGAAAAGTTGGGGGAAGTGCGAGAATCGCGCGAGAAAATTTACCGCGAAAACATACAAAGCAAAACGGAAAACAAAGCGGCCGCAAATTGGGATTCTCAAACCAGCAACTGACAACCTTTGAGGAGTACTAACCTAGGCCTACCTTAATGAAACCACAGGTTCAGCACAAAGTAAGATATATTTGCAGACACTAAAGCCACTGTCTCAAGGGTCTTCACGGGCAGACCCTTGGCGTAATCAAGAAGTGCTGCCTCAACCTGTGGGTGTTTTCCCATCTGAGGTCCACGGAAGACCCGACGCGTTTTGTTGGTGGCTTTCAGCTGCTCATGCTGCCTTCGCCAGTAGTGAACACAAAATTTGACGACTCAATTGCGTGCCTGCGGCCCTGTTTCCATGGTTTTCTGTATCAATCACTTTAAACTTGAAAGCAGCCGTGAAGCTTCCGTATTGATACCTATCGTGTAACTGCAGTACAGACACAACAATACTACATACACACAATGCATGTATTAGTACTAACACGCCGCAATGCTCACTTGCCTTTTTAGTTTGGATTGGATTTAGGCTCGATGCATTGATAGTATGCATGATGCTCAAGAGATGGCGCTAGGCTGTGATGCGTTATAAAGCCCCTAGAACTTCGTAAAGTAGTGACACTCTCCTCCTCTGCTCTTGTTTCTCCTCGGTCTCCTCTTCTTCACACTCGCATTTAAAATGTGGTGCCACCTGCATTGCTTCTGCGTAGCAGACGCCCTTTCACGAAGAGAGCACTTGCTCGGCAGGCAGCGCGCTGAGAGCATTCGCGCCAGTCGTCTAACTCATCCTAAAATTATCTTAACTAGTGTAGGGTCAGCCCATATCAGCTCTGTTTAGTGCCACGCGCAACGCGTATTTGTGATCAGGCCTAGATCGAGTCACTCGGCATTGCAGTGACCGGATGTCAACTTTGTGTGCATCACCCTTTAGTATGTACATAACGTAAAAATGTGATCATTAGTGAAAACACCCATTTTTTCTTGGCCCATCGTTAAACACATCTCCAAATAAGCTTTACACTCTAAATGACATCACTGAAACGTTCATGTGCGGCTGCTATGGCTAACCTTTTTGTTAGCTGGCGCGATAGCGCTCGAAGGGACAGTGCGACTGTCTTGGCGCAGTGGTGGTGCAAGCTTCACCGTGTATAGGGTACACAATACGTGCAGGGAGCATTCACAGGGACTGTCATCTACTGAAACAACTCGCGTTGGCGCTATTGATGGCCAATTTTAGCATTTGATGAGGCATATAAAGCCCTAATAATGTGTCAGAAGGCGCGTATTTGATACATTTGGACAGCTGTGGTTGTTTCAGTGAAGTGGTTAGACGCATCAATCATGTTTCAAAAGTGCGCCTTGTGGACGTATCTCACATATGAACTATATCGCCTAAAGAATGAGCTAGCGTATTAATGAACTAGTGTGCCACCATACGTGATTACTTCGCGAGAGCTCCACACGCGGATATAAACCTTCACACGAAACAGCAAATAAACTATCACACGAAATGACACGTATGTCTGAGGTTTCTAAACGATGCACGTACCCAATGACTTCGAAGGCATGCACGCTTGGCGTAGCTGCATGCCCTTGCATCGTGAGTCCCCCGGCTGATCGGTCGATGTAAAACAGCCACTGAGAGCGATTTGCTCTAAAATATACGAGCACGCAACAAAATCCAATGGAGAGTACCAAACTTAATTTGAGTTGCTGCACTCCAGTTTTGTTTATTCAGGACAGCAACGCAAAATATCTGATGTTCTGTAATCACAATTTCGAGCGTCTTTCCGCGTACATTCTAAGCGCACAAACCAGTACCGCGAACTCAAACAAGTTGGTGCATAACGACAAGCAAAACACATAAGCATGTATCGAGGGAAAAAAAAACTTTGCATTAGCGGTAATGAAACCTGAGTGAGAGATTGCGACGTCCTGCGCAATTAACTGCGACCTCTATCACAAGGCGCAACAACCACTCACGGCGACAAATCGTGCCGTCATTCTTGGGTGAAAAGTATTTCACAGCGCAGCGCGCACGGAAGGACAACTTCGTATCCGTCAAAACAGATGCACTGCGCCCCAAGGAGTCTGCGCCTCCAGAGCAAAGATGGCAGTCGCGAGTGATCGTAAAAAAACGAACACTGTGAGTGATCCCATGTAACGGCATCTGGCAAATACCGACGTGGCGCCGGCCTCGGAGAGGTGTGAGGAGGGAAAAAAGAGAGTAGGCGCGTGAATAACCACGTACATCACTACTTTACGAAGTTTTAGGGGCTTTAATGCGTTATCATGTAATAATTAGGTACTTCTGAAAAAAACAATTCGTTGGGCAATTCAGGGAGGGGGGGGTGCGAGAGCTATGCGAGTGCGAGGATGATGCGAGTAAATACGGTAGTATACATCCAGAATTGTATAATTGAGTACAGTGCTTAGCATACACATTCAGAAGTGTCTCGTGCCCAAAAATAAGATACGTTCAACTTCTTGTTGGCTGATTTGACTGTCTTCGACATTTTCATATAGTATTCTCATGTGCGTTATTTGATCAAAATCTGAGCGCTGATGAACTGATGAGAATTGACTGTGCTTACCATACTAAATCAGGACAATTGCGATGTAATAATGAATGCACGAAGGAGTTCATAACAGTCTGTGTATTGGATAATACTGATCAGTAATTAATATCATTGCATTGTGACAAAAATTTGCACGAGATGTGGTAGTATGATGAACAGCATGGCTTTCTCGTGGCAACAGTGCTAAAAAATTGTGTCACTGTGTGGCATGCCATTTTGCTGGCGCTCTTGATGAAATTGTCAAATTATGGTGTGCCAATACAACTGTACAAGGACATAGAAGGGTGCCAACATTACCGCTCAAGGCTCGCCTTCAGCATAGGCGTATCGCGCAGCAATTCACAAAATAAGAAAAGGTAAGCGCAACGCCTAAAGGCAGTAAGATGGCATTTATGAATGACCTGATATGAGTGGTGGACATTCTAACCGACATTAAAAGCAAGGTGCTCTGAAATTTCACTTTTGCAGCGAAAGCTTTTATGAGATCACCACAAGGGGCACGTGCGCCGTAGTTGTCTGCCGTCGCCACCGCCGGTGTCTGTAACCATTATCGCGCAAAATAAGAAAAAAGCTAAGTAAATAAAAAACACCAAGGAGACAATGAGATTCGAACCCGGGTCCGCTGCATGCCAGCCCAGTATTCTACCACAGAGCCATGGTAATGTTTGAAACTCCGTTGCGAACTGGCCTTAGGAAGGCTTGATTTTGCGAAATGAATCGCATTAACATGAGCGATAAAGCGCTTTAGATCAGCAAAGGAACAACCAGTCGTCACACAGTGCAAATTGCATAACGAGAGGGTTGTCGAACGCTCCAACCCTACTACGAAAGCTTCAGGCATAATTCTTCATCGTCGTCAGCCACAGCAAAGAAAAATGATAATAATAATAAATAAAAATGAGCAAAACTCGTTGCTAGTGTGTAGTGGGCGCCACATTTTTCCGCAGGATGGCGTTGTGAATGACTTCCCACTACACAAAAATTATGATAAATAATGGCATGGTGGGTACCCTGCAAGTGTGCTTGTAGCAGTTCCCCAGAATTTGCTGTAAAAAAGGCTCTGAAAGGCCACCTTTCCAGCTTTCGCTGTGACTGGGCTGCGTGTTCCGTGCAGGCCTGGCGGTCTTTTGTTATGATTATTATGAGCGAGTAGTATATACGTTTGCACCTCATTGTAATGAAACTTGTAAAATCTGCGGTTTGCCTTATCTTATTCTGCCTAGAGATGACGCAGAAGTTCACAGACGCGCCAGACTTCCCATGTGCCACGTTACGGCCACATGTTCTCTCCCCTCGGCAGAAGGTGCTTGTTAGCTGCGAGCTGCAGTTGTCTCTAAGTGCTGAACTTGGGTTGTGGGTTTTGTCAGCTAAGTCAGTGCTCTACATTTACCCATCTGAACCTTGAATAAACGAAGGGTATCGCGTATCTGAGCGCAAATAAAAAAACTTGTTGCACTTGTCCCATTTTTGGCTTTATCTTCAGTCTAGCCTATGAGATTCATTTTGCAGGCTAAGCCGATCTCGGGTGCCCCCAGGAAAAATAATTCTGTCCCCCTGGTAGAAGATAGATGCTGGGACAAGTTTAAGATAATTGGAGATTGCTAAGAGACGCCGTTCTTCAGCTGTGGACAAAAGTGGACAAAAGTGAATGGTGGTGACTAAATTGAGCTAACTGCTCATATGTGTACCACACTTCTGACGGCTCCAGTCCACAAGGCACATTACCATGGCACCATGATGTGATCTGTGAATAATTGCTATGCTTGTGTTTCCTGCAGACTCGCTGTGGAAAATGCTGAGGTTTTATGCCCTTGACCCAAAGTGAGTCTTTTCTTTACTTCTTGAGATAATTTTGTGCTTGTTTTTTTTTCAGTGAGGTTCTTTTGCTAGGTCAGGCTTTCTCATTTGACAGGTCAGCAGCTGGTGTGTTGCAAAAGCTTATATCATTGCCTTGATAGTGCATTACCATGGGATATCTATTTCGAAGGGCAATTGGCTGCCACACTGTTAGTTCAGGAACGTTCTGTGGTGTTTTATTATTATTTTCAGAAATGTTCTGTGTGTTTTTTTTACTTTCTCCAGTTACATGATTGGTAAAGCACTTGCAGGTTGATGACGTCCAAGCTGACGCATCCTGTGGGTACCGTATTTACTCGTGTAATAATTCATTAGCATAATAAATGCACCCCCAACTTCATTAGTGAAAATCTGGATTTTTTTTCTCCCGCGTAATCCGCGGCATTTTTTGCCGTGTCGCCAGGGTAGTGTCTGACGTCTATTCTCGCTTCCGTGGGAATTTGTTCTTGATGTTTGTTATCTGCCCGTACTTCCTGGAACGCAAGATATAGGCTACCTTTTCTACAGGAACTTGTCATGTGAACAGCGAGATGGAAGCCTGTATTTTGTCGTTAATCTTGTTATCGGCAGTTTGTTTTGAAGCCTCGGTGGTAACTTGGCGCAACGTAAACGGCGTCATGGTGCTCGTCATGCGAGGTTGCCGCGAAGCTGGCTAAGTTCGCCATAGCACACACTTCTGGCCGCCCCTCCAGATCACAGCAGATAGCACATGTTGTGGTTAAACAACTGCGAGAAAAGAGAGCCGCAAAATACTTTTATGGAGTATGCGGGCGACGCAGAGACAGCTTGCAGAAAATAGTGCCTTCAACCAGGAAACATTAGTGAAGTGCCACTATTTCCAGACAGTGTACGCTGTATGTCGATTGCGAAGGGCTAAGTGACCAAACTTTTTTTTCCATTACTGCATTTTTTTCTTCATTAGTGCAGGAATTTGTCTCACATAACAAGCACACCCCCAAATTTTCTCTGATTTTTTAGAAAAAAGGTGTGTTCATTACGTGAGTAAATACCGTAATTATGCATCTTCGTTAGTCTCGATAATGAAGCATAACCTCGGCAGACTGAGTAAATAGTGAGCTTCACGGGCAGAGCACACAAACTGTGAAGTCTCTTACAAACTTTTGCTGGAGTGAAGGGATGTAGGCACTCAAGAAAAGTGTGTGGTCACAAAGAGAACTTAATTATGAAGAGCTCTGTAATATATATATGTCACTGCCCCGCCGCGGTGGTCTAGTGGCTAAGGTGCTCGGCTGCTGACCCGGAGTTCGCAGGATTGAATCCCGGCTGCGGCGGCTGCATTTTCGATGGAGGCGGAAATGTTGTAGGCCCATGTGCTCAGATTTGGGTGCACGTTAAAGAACCCCAGGTGGTCGAAATTCCCGGAGCCCTTCACTACAGTGTCTCTCATAATCATATGGTGGTTGTGGGACGTTAAACCCCACAAATCGATCAATCAATTTGTATGTCACTGGGCTTGGTCGGCTGCTCTCTCTGGCTGGTGATCATGTGCTCCGATTGGTCTTTGCGGTCGATGTACCTTCAGGTGCATTGGCGATGCAAGGCAGGCTGAGTATCATGAGCATATTTAGTGAGGGCCCCTTGTTTCTATATGGGAAGTAGCCACCAACGTTCTTGACAGAGAAAGAAAATGGCCAAGATCATTACATGCAGCGAAACAGCTAATGGACATTGCCCCTTGCTCACACCTTGCTGTCTCACCTGTCTTTATTGGTTTTCGCGTGCCTCTTTATATGAAAGGAGAGAGGCACTGTTACTCGAGCGGTGCGATGGCTGCCTGTAACACTGCCTATACTTGAAGGATCTGAAAAATTTTTGAGGCAGTGATCCTATGGTGAGGTCTGTGTATGTTTACTCAGGAAGCTGTTTCAGGGTCCATTCTTCTAAGTAATCGTCAAATGACCTTGGTATCACTTTATTGCCTCATGAATCATTTGATACAAAATTTTCTGGAATCTGTCGAAAACTTGCGTAATTTCAGAGATTTGTTTATGCTTTAAGTGCTTTCTCTCTTTTCTCATCCTGACATGCATGCTGAAGCTTCACAGCACAGGGAGGGGTAGCTAGTGGGCAACTATTTACATTAGTTCATGCCATGACGTTGAGCACATGCCTGGTGAAACATTTTCGTTCTCTCCTGCTGCGATACATGTGCACAAGCGCAGCTACTGTCTAATGCTCTCACATTATGGAGCACATTACTGGCGCATAGAGGCACCCCATAGTGAGAAGTGCATCTTATCTAAATGCCGCTTTTGATTTATGTCGGCTATTGGTCATTAGCACACTCTCTACTGTTCAAGGTCAAGCAGCAGGCATCCCGCCTAACGAAGAGAATGGGCTTCAGAGAGTGAGCTTGCAAAAATGGTCGTTTCGCACTCTTATTCTAAACTCTCCTTACCGTGCATGACTTGACTTGGCCTTTCACGGCAGTGTCTACTTTCCGCAGCACCTGTTTTCTCACAAAGCTTGAGGGGTGGTTTACGACTCTTTAATGTGACACTTTGTGACATGCCAAATGATGGACACTTGTGCACACAGTTGAATCCCTTTATGAGAGGCATGCACCAGGGAGCACTAACCTCTCTGCCCTTTTCCTTAATATGTCTCTTCCTGTCTTTCTCTATCTAGTTGCTATGCTTTCAACAATCTGTTGCCGTATGTGAGCATTTCTGAAGTGGTTGGATTTTTCGGCTGGCTGTATGCACATGGCAATGTTTTTTGTTCTTGTTTTCAGCGTGACAGACCCAACCTTTGGCGATGTGAGGAAGCTGATATGCACAGAGCTGGTCAAGCAAGCGTACCTCGAGCAGTCGGTGGTTCTCGGGTCCGATCCGCCATTGAATCAGTACTACTGGGGCGTGCGGGCAAAGAAGGAAATCTCGAAGCGCTCTGTCCTCGAAATAGTTTGCAAGGTACGTTCAATTTCACCGACAAGCTTTGCTGCCACGACGTTTTGAGGTTTGAGGCATGTTCTGAGCGTTCAGGTTCAGACTTGTTTGTGTACTCGCTTGTTTGATGTGTCATGCTAGGGTGTTACATGAGCAAACCTGTGGGTGTATCATAAACTACTAAACAAACACCCCCTCTCCTCCCGCCATTTACAGTCAACTCTCGTTAATTCAAACTATAAGTGACCTCTGAATTTGGTTTAAATTATCAAGAAGTTTGAATTATCAGAAGTTCTCAAATAGATGACTCCAGGCGAGTGACACCCCACATTATGATTGGGCATTGATTTTAACACATTAAAAGTTTTAGGTGTTTTTAAGCCCTAATTGCATGCAGTGAACAGAAAGCAGAAGTGTAAAGTCCACAAGTTTATTGGCCATTTACTGCTGATCAGACCTTTTAAAAAAATCGTTAATTGCCAACTGCTTCTTCGCTATAGGTATGTGCCTTCAGCACAAAGCTATCTACACCAATTGAGAAGCATCACGGTTTACCATGCATGTGCTTCATTTCAAACGTTTGTTTATTTGCATAACTTTTTTCCTTGAAGGCGTCAGGTGCTTGTTTTGCATTTTTAGACTGTTAGGATTATATCAGCACACAAATTTTTAAATAGTAGTGGAAAAGTAGCAGATATTTTCTGATGTGGGGGGACCTGCAAAAAGTATGAATTAATGGAATGATGGAGTTTGAATTAAGAGGCTTTTAAATACATCGAAAGAATAGAAAGCCAACCAAGAAATTGAGTCTTATTTGAATGAGCCAAAAGTTGGAATTATCAGAGTTTGAATTATCGCAAGTCTACCTTAATAATTTTTATTTATTCTGCTCTTCGCTACAGAATTCTACAGCTGCGGTTTTTAGGAGTCTCATGTTCAGAGTCTAGATGTGCGCACGATCTTTTGGTGCTGTTACAGTGTAGTGCCGCGGGGCTCCATTCTGAGTTGTGACAAATTGTTGGGACACTTGAAGAAACAAACTTTAGGAACATTGAAGAATGTCTTTCCCCCTTGTCATTACACATGGGATTCCACATGAGGACGGCCTCTGGGTCAGTAAAAACAGTAAGTGCGTGCGTGTTCAGCGAAGGATTTCATTAGAAGCACAGGTAGGCATTCTTCTTGGAAGCTGCTTTGAAGTCATCTTGAATTTCGCTTTGTGACCAAGCAATGGCAGGGTGTGCACAGGTTCTTGAAACCTTTGAGTGCCCTTGAAAATCAAGTCTATTTTCAAGGCCCTTAAGAACCTTGAATTTGGAACAAGTCCTCGAAAAGCTTTGAATTTTTTAAAGGCTAAATTTGAATTGGTATTCGTTATCATGAAAATAGTTTTCATTGCTCAACTTTTGTTTTTTGTTAGAGTTCTGAAATGCGACCAACAAACTGCCAATTTTTATTCCCATCTAGCCAACTCTCGTTAGGCAGCTGGCAACATATCACTTGATGTGAGTCTCAGAGGCAGCGTTCACTGTACACATCGTGTCAGTGACTGAGAACAGTCGCCGCCGCTGCTCGCGGAAGTAGTATCAGCTGCGAGCGCAGTCACCCCATCGCTATTGCATGTCTATTGCCTTCGTCCAAGCGCAGTGTCAGCCTTTGTGCGCGGACATTAACTCTTTCGTTGCCGCGAGAAAATGGTTGTTATTCATGTGTCTCGGAAAGAAAGTTTGGCCAGTTTTAAAAGTATTCCAGCACTCATTGCAGCATACCAAGTTGTGTATAATGATAGGCTCTTTCTTTAAAAATATTATTTGTAGAGCGAAAAGAAAAATTTTGGAATGTGTAAAAAATATGATAAGTGTGCAATTTTTCATTGGGATAAAGAGAGTCATTAAAAATGCTATATGAGCCAAAAAACTCAAAACAAAGGAAATTCAAAATGTGCACTTTGAAGGTAAATGACCGAGGAATAGTATAAAAATAAGAAATGTTCTACACAATCTTCCTACTGACATAGACATAGATATCTGTACCAATGTACTGCTTCATTCCTCTAGTCATGCGGTGAATCATTTCCTGGTATTCTGATATATATTTTTTGTGCAATAAATGTAACACCTTGCAAGTGCACCATTCTCAGGATTCTCGGGATTTAAAAAAAGTGCACATTGAAGAGGGCCTTGAAAATCTTTTTATAGGGGCCTTGAAAGTCCTTGCATATCCTTGAATTTTTCTCTTGTGAAATCTGTACGAACCTTGAAGCAAGCACACCTCTCCTTCCATTCCTTCCAAATTTCGTGCAGCTATCTTTTATTGTAGATGGGGTGGGGCGCTTGTTTGGGATTTCACGGTTAAAAAAAAAATTGGGAAACAAACAAAAAAAAGGTTTCAAGAGCAGAAAGCAAGTGTAAAGGGGAATTGGCTAGCAAAAGAAGAAAATACTAATTTGCATGAACAGCAATGTAAAAGGTGTGCATATATTGATTGGACTATGCGATTTGTAGTATTTAGATCTTATCTACAAAGCATTTATTTGTTACTTTGCTTATATGTGATGTTCGATTATTTGAAACTACTAATCAGATGTTTAAAAGAGCATTTATGGGAACCAGTTCTAATTTTTTTCTCTTTTAGTTCAGGATATAGCTAGCAAGTCGTAGCAACAATGCACTGCAGTGGCTTCGGGCGTTGTTTAATGTCATTGGGCATTACTTAGTGTCATTGCTGGCAATCCACTACTGTTAGGTGAATTTTTATTCAACCAGTGACTTCGTGCTGTGTTTTGTAATATACATCCTAAGCTTGCATCATGACTGCATATGAAACGGCTTGCTTGTCCACAGTCCACAGACTATCGCATAACTAATGTGATCATTATGGAAAGACATTCACTAGAAGAGACGTCACGCTGAAACAATAACAACGGCTTTCGTGAACGAACCTATCAGTTGCATCAACACACCAACACCAGTAGCTGACCACCGTCGAAAGGCATCCGACAACGTTGAGATAAAGGCGTGGTATCGCGGAGCAGTGCCTTACGCTATTCTTATCATCTGCTAGTCGTGGCTGGCTGATTTTGCTGTAAACGTGGACGAACAGCCCTGGCCGAGCGGGAAAAGAACTAAAAGCATTGACGTCAAAACAGGCATTGTAGGAAATTTGATGAACGCAACTGAGTTTCATCTTTGGATGGCCTATGACTCAGAAACAGGTCAGTGGCAAAAACAGGGCAGTCTCCACGATCTACTGTACGCCTGACCTGCCCCGATAACAGGGTTTCAATGAGAGCGCGTGTCCCCGCTCTTGTTCAACCGCTCGCTGCCGGTAGCGTTACTTATAAGCTGTTTATCAGTTACTCTACAGCAATTAGGGCGGCGCTGGAGTAACGCCTGCTCTCTGTGACGAACTGCCGGCATATATGTGACTGTTTCTGCAAACTTAAAATGGGCTCGTCAAGTAAGCCATTTTGTGCAATTGAGTGTTTGTTGCACGTTGGTTGACCAACGTAGTGTAGCGAGGTGTAGGACAGCCTATGTGGTGTCCCGTCCATCCAATGGCAAAGAGTTTTCGAGTCTCTTCTAGTGTATTAATTTCCAAATCATTTTGCATTTATGGGTAATAATTACACATTGTAAGTGCTCTGTTGCCCGAAATATGACCACAAATGTTGAAGCTGACATTAGCGAACAGGCGCTGACTAGCACCACGCCGCCCATAAGTTACGTCCCTAATAGCGCAAGGTATGAACTAGTCGTGGGTGCTGGAGAGGGGACATGTCAACAGGTCAGGATAATAATAGGCCATGGCAGTCCCATTGCCATTACTTTCGAGCATGGCAGCCCCATGCTTAGCAGAAAGCGGTATACAGTAAGCAGTGGCAGTTTCTGATGGTGTCAACGCGCGATTTAAGACTTCATCGATGTGTTTTTATGTTCTGAAAACCTATCAAAATGTTCAAGATAGTGTTTACTGCATGGCATTGAATATGTGAGCCTGGAATTGCATCGTGAAATTTTGTTGAAGCAGGACGGCAGAAGAAAGTGTTGGTTGTGATGAGAATATTTATCCATTGACTCGTATGGACTGCTGACGGGCAACCAAGATTTGTTCGTTGGTGTGGAAATTTCGTTGAAGTGGCATTTGTTTCAGCAGGGTCCGAGTGTATTTCATGTCCAGCACATTCGGTTAAAACGGGCTCAGAAAATGCACCAGGGAGGGCATTTATTGTGGATAAAACATGGGCATGGGGGAACAACCCAAATGTTATAAACCTAGAAGTTCCTATCAAGTAATTTTGTGCGAATTTGTTAATGACAGGCAACTTTCCTATATGCCCGTATGACCTAATCGTCTGACGGAGTCTTGGGGACACTAAAGAAAGGGACGTTTTTTTCTACCATTGCTAAATTACTCTTTTGTCGACACCAGAGCCTCTAGGCTTGCCGCATGTTAAATGAGATGCTTGTTTAGTGGGAAAACATGTGACAAGAAAATGAGGATGGAGACACCACCTTGAATTCCTCGCATCAATCGCCACGACGCCATCAATTTCAAAGGCATCTATTTACCAAACTCTAGTAATCGATAAAAATGAAATATGTTGTTCTCCGAGGGGACCAGAGACTTAATAATCTAAGTTTTAGCAAGCCTAATTGAGGCCATGTGACCAAAATATAAAATAACATTGAAATTCATGATGTCACCTTCGAAAATTCTGGCTCGAAATTTAAGGCTGATACATTTGCCTTACTTTGCTTTATTTACTCTTGTATTTAACATTTAATGGTTTAATGAATGATTGCAGAGTTCTTGGAGTGTAACTAATTAGATTATGCTGATTCATTGTTTATTTTAGTGTCTCTTTAAGTGTTAATGACAAAGGAAACTGTTTCTGCAGATCATGGGCCAGGGAGCACAACCAGAACACTGGGCGACTGTGTACGAAGAAGTTGTGCGTTCAGAGAACGCCAACTGACAAGGAGTTTAAAATCATTATATGGGCGTATATGCGCTAGGTATAACACATTTTAGAACGAAATGTGTGTTACTGTTTGTAACTTGCGCCGTACTGCTGTTCAGAATTGCTTCCTTTTTTGCACCAAACAAAAAATTACGTTTTCACAAACCTTGTTGTAACTTTTAAAAATCTTGCACAAGTAAGTTGGGTGTTGACAAAAATTCCCATATTATATTTGATATCCACTCAGCCTTCATTATATAGGTACATTCCTAACACCATAGCAGTTGCAAGACTATTGTTTCGTTATATCAAGGTTTTAGTGTATACTATTCAATTGAAAAATTATTCGATCAAATCACCATTTGCTTCAAATATGCTTCAAACCTCAAATTTACTAGCATTTGCCCATTCCTATGTAACTGCGAAAACCTTCCTTTTGAGACACGAATGCGTCCTCATTTCTCGTTGACTGACTGAAATCTTGAAGTTTTATGATGCTGGTTGAATTAATGGTAAAAGATGTAAATGTGATTATCTGCTTCAGACTTGCACACCAGCTATAACCCTTGCAAATGGTTTGGACTCTTGCACTGCAGTTTATAGTACATGACACAGGCAGTGGTGTCAATTTATCATGATTGGTGCTTTTAAGTGTTTGCTGTGCTGTATTGTACAGCTGTATAATGATCTTTTTTTTTTTCAACTTTACTTGTGTGTGTACATTTCGAAAAGGGTGAAATGCAAGAATCGCTAGTGCACACGCTGAATACTTATTCGTACGGGCAAAAACCTGCCCATAATAGGAGTTTATTCAGTCTTCCTTCACTGCAGTGTCTCGCATAGGTTGAGTGCTAACACAGTGAGGGAATTGCATCTCAAGTCTTTTTCTTCATGGCTATGACTTGCCTCCTTTGTAAGCTTAATTTATTGCCCAGAATTTGTTTCTTTTTCCGCATGTTTCAATAAAGGATGCGTAGCTTTTATAAACGATTAAAAAAAATTGGGGAGAGAAAGCGATGTTGTGTTGTATTTATTTCTACTTCTTCAGCTTACAAATATGCTCTCAAAGTGATGTGAAAGTATGGACACAGATGGAGCTGTTAGCTTTTTTCTTTTCTTTTTAGATACCATGTTCAAGTATGTTGAAAAGATAGAGACAGACTACATAAGTTTTGTGCCTCTTTGTATTTCTAGCTTTTGTTTTTCAATGCCCAAAAGTTCAATTTTAAATTGCAAACAAAGGCTTGTTTAAAGATGACTTCAATTTGAGTGGAGTTGTGTGATGTAAGTACCGTATTTACTCGATTCTACCGCGCCCTCGATTGTAACGCGCACCCGATTTCCACCGCGAAAAAAAAAAAAAAAAAAAACCGTAAAACATCGATTGCAACGCGCACCCATTTTTTTTTTTTTTTTTTGCTGGCCCGCACGATCACCCCACTCGAAAAAACGATTCCTTTCGGGATTGTCTTCCATTTAATTATGAGGTACGGGCGAAGCTTGTGCCCATCTGACGTGTAAAAGAGCATTGCCGTCACTGTAGTTTTACCGTGGACCGATGTCAGCACGCGAACTTGCTTCGCCCCCTTCTTCTCGACAGTTGTGGTGCCAGGCATGTCGAAGTAAAGAGGCGTCTGATCGGCATTCCAGATTTGCCCAAGCAGGTAGCCGTTGTTGCGCCGCAAGTTTAGGACGAACCTCTGAAAACTGTAAAGCTTTTCATCGTACTTCACCGCAAAAGTTTTCGCATATGCATGTTCCCCTTCGGAGGGAAGATCCTTTCCTCTTCATATAGTTAATTAGCCAGCACCTGCTCGCTTTAAACAGGCTCCGCATTAGACTTTTTTCTAAGACTAATTGCATAGCCCACACTTGGAGCAGTTCTGTCGTCATGGGCCGCTGTGCCTCTCGCTCCTCAAGCACATACTCGCGGAGCAGCTTTTCAATTTACGGAAACCGACCCTGCTGTGGTTCACTGAAGCCTTTGCGTGAATCTTTGCTGTCGACAATCTTCTGCTTTTGTTTCCGCCGGTCCCGCACGCATGTTTCGAGAAGGACCGCGATGCGGCCCGATTTCCGTCCGTTTCTGCACACGCGATGACTTTTCTTTTAAAAGCGGCATCGTGGTGCACTCGAGTTTTTGGAGTCGGCCCTTCCACGTCGTCGATGCTAATGCACTACTAGATGACGAACTCCTCAGCACACGTACGAAGTGCCGCACATGGGAAACACATAGGCAGAAATAGCCGACGCACCATGCCGACGCACATAGGGGGCGGCCATTTTGGATTTGCGATGGCAATAGATTGACCGTAATTTTTTTGTTCGTACTCGATTCTAACGCGCATGCGATTTATGAACTCGCTTAACCGGAAAAAAGGTGCGCGTTAGATTCGAGTAATTACGGTATACTGTTTCTATCTGGCATCCTCATTTGGTGCTTGTTTTGAGCCAGACTGCTTCAGCCTAGAATTTTTTCTTGCGTGATGAAGTCAGCACCTAAAAATTTTCACTTTAGGTTCCATTGTAATCTTTTTTGTTCATCACACACAAGAAAATACACTGTGATATGTATATACTTGACTTGCCAGGTGGCCTGACCATGAAATGTCTTTTGTAACTAGTTTTGTAAATAATAAAGATGTGTAAACTTTTCATACCTGATGCCTGAAGAACTTGGTTATCTGCAAATAAAGATCGCATCGCGTTTTTCATGTTCAATGCAAACTGAGCTTGTCTAATATTGTGACATATGCAAGGGAATTAGCGGTGATGTAATTGCTGTGCCTGTTGCGCTAATATGTGGAGCCTGCTACACCTTGCTGCATCTCGGCAAATATTTCGTTATTTGCACCAAGCATGCACCACAACATTGTTTTTGAGGTGATCTTTCGGAGAGAGAAACAAGACTACAAGCGCTCGAAATTTGTATATTACCGCTGTAGCCGCAACTACTACCTTGACCACAAAGTGGTCATTGCTGTAGATAGGAAATCCAGGTGGCTTGTGCTACCAGTATTCTAACTAAAGCGTCGGGGAAAAGCCAGGGCTGTTTACAAATACTAAGTGAATTCCTGGGAAGTCTTAAAATCTGTACACAGCGGTTGTGTCTACCTGACATTTCAACAAGTAGACTAGTCTTCCTCAGGACTTTTCTGTTCTGTTCTAGCATTGAGGAAGACAAGTCCGCCCATTGAAACGTCGGCTCGACACAACAAAATTTTTTCATTGCAAGCTTCCATCTTTCCCTTCCTGCTGGTTTTTGGAAAATGTTAGATGACTTGAACCGACTGGACTTAAGAAGACTCGGAGACAAGTAACCATGGAATGAATTCACTGGAGGAGCTTATTGCCTTACAAATTCAACGCCAGAAAAATTTTAAAAATCCGTCCAGTGCGAGTGGAGTTACAAAGATTTGTCACATGCTTCAATTGTATTCTCTCTTCTCTCGTCCTTACAAAAGCTCTGGAAGCTAATCAGGGAGGGATGGCAGAGGCCAAGAAACTATGTCACCTGTGCCTCGTGACCTTAAGCACTTTTTTTTTCCTTCGAATGCGCAGCTCTTTCAGAGTGATCGCTTGTGCATGCGTTGACAAGTCACAGCCTCCTGCGTTGATCTCTGTAATGACCAAGCGCGCCATATTTAAATCAGCCAATGACTGTTAGATGGGTTTACTATGTGTGACTTTTTGAGCGTCTTCTGTCGTTTGTCGAGAAAAGAGAAAGCAATTTTTAGCTGACTTTGATAATTTATTGTGAATAGGCTGCGTGCTGCGCTATAATATTTGGCTCGCGTGTTATCGGGAGCCTCTACTACCGATCGGCAGCGTTTTCTGACCATGATCAAGAAATTTCGCAGGGCCCCTTTAATAAACTTGGGGATGTCTGCAAAAAAAAAAAAAAAGTGAGAAGCGGTGACGTAATTTCATTTTTAGGAGTGTTTCAAATAAAGATGCATGCATGCTTGCATAAAGTGATTTTGTTTGACATGTGGTGCAACAGCTTCTGCTTGGAGACAAATATTTGTGTCCGAAAATGTGTTGCAAGTAACTTCTCTAAACGGTTGCTGTCCACCACCGCCAAGAGACCCGCGAAATGGAAAGATGCCTATAGCCTTGATCAAATTTCACATAGAAGGTGTGGTTATGGCTGAATTAAAAGCTGTGAGCATTGGAGATCTTTCGTAAATATGCAGAAGCTTGTGCAAGATCTTTGTTTTATTTGCAAGTGCCATAATGGACTACGAAAATTTTGTTCGTTCACCCAGCTCTACGAAGGCCATCTAATCATCTAACTGTTAGCTGCAACTGCGAACCACATGCAAGATCTAATAATACCTGAGAATTCAAGAATATTTGAAAATCTGCCTGTGCTTGCAGATGATTCTTTGGTTGCAGAGGATATTCGAAACGCCTTCATATTTCAATAGAATGTGAGAGGCCTAAGGTCCCGGATATCGGATTTCCGGCAGTTCGTCTTTGAAAATCGCTTTTCGATAATGGTAATCTATGAGCCGAACTCATTGACTATAAGAATATCAAGATACAAGTCTTTTGTTTCGACCATGAATGGTGGCAGCAGCAAAGTTATTGTTTACATTCGCAAGGACTTTACTTATTTCGCCCATGCTATACTGCCAGATGACGAGAACCAGTACGTGTGCATTACCCTGAAGAAGAAGCGGTTGTCTTTTATACTTATTGGCGAATACGTATCCCCTGCAAGTCCATTTGATTGTAAGTGACTAACAGACATTATGGCAGCTGTTCCAGGCCCTTGCAATACAACAGGTGATTTCAATGCACATCATCTGATATAGGAAAGATTGAGGACAAACTCGAAGGGGCGCTCACTGATAGCGTTCGCGTCATACCTCAACCTGCGCCTCCTGAGTGATGGTAGCCCGACATACCTGCGAAGAACGACATACAGCAGCTGCCTCAACCTGACACTGGTGTCGTGTTGCCCAAGTTCAAAAGTGCAGTGGTTTACAGATATCGAAACCCATGGTAGCAATCGCATTCCGACTTATGTCAGCAGTGATGGCCAAGAGACATCGTCCTCGTCGGTCTCTCGGTGTATAGACTGGACATTTTATGAAGATCAAGTGGTGGACATGTACAGAAATGATTCCTCGTGTGGGTTACAATAAGTAATTGTAGATGCAATGCCAAATTGTACGTGGCGCTTCACACACTCACAGAAGCGCACGGCGTTTGACATCAAATTAGAAAGGCTGCGGGCTTTACGTAGACGTGCTGAGAGAAGATACAGGCGTACCTAGTCGATTCTTGATTTCAGAGTAGCAAGGCATATGCAAAAAAAAAATAAAAAATTCAGTGCCGAATAGACAAGCTGCAGGATCAAAGATGAAAAAGCTTTTGCGAGTCATTAGATCCACGCAAGTCATTGTCTCAGGTATAGAGATCTCTACAGGGTCTTTGCTCAGGCGCCATGCAACATCGTCCCTTCAAGGCTCTCGCACTTCATCTTAACGGCTGTGAAATTGACGTTGCAGAAGATTTTTGCGCGAATATCACTGGCAGGACAGTCCTGTTCTCCGATATGCTTTTATGTGATATCCCCAGTCCACGAGATATAAGTAGGGATGCTCCATTTTCTATGAAAGAGCTAGAAGCTGCACCGACACTGTGTAGGCGTTCTTCTTCAGCAGGACCCGATGGGATAACGTATATGGCTCTGCGTCACGGCCAAGCAGCTAGACGACAGCTGCTAAATTTATTTATTCGTTCATGGGAAGATGGCGTTGTACCTCAAGAATGAAACGCAGCTATCTTGTGCCACTTCTAGAAGCAGGAAGATCCTCCCTTGTGTTGACATCATACTGGCCTGTAGCTCTCGCCAACTGCGTTGGGAAGCTGTGTTGAGCGCATGATTCTCACGTGCCTGAAATGGTTCCTTGAACGGCACAACATTTACCATGACTCTATGGTGGGATTTTGATGAGGCCGTGCATCGATTGACAACGTCATCGATTTGGTTTCATCAGTAGAACAGCAGAAATTCAGGAAACGACTAGCACTAGCTCTCTTGATGTGAAAGGTGCACATGACGTTTCCCATCAAGCTATAATAGACACACTACTGCTGATTGAACTGGGAGGGCGAATATTTTGATGGATCCGAGGCTACCTGACACGAAGATCCTTTTTTGTATATACTGAAGATGGCCCAACCTCAAACCAGTACACGTGCCGTGGCGTCCCGCAAGGTGGTGTTTCAAGCCCCAGTTCTTCTCAACCTTACCTTGCTTGGCCTGGCGGAAGCTCTCCCGGAAACAGTCAGTGTTTCGATATATGCTGATGACATCAGCGTCTGGGCATCAGCATTTACACGCTTACAAGTTCGAGCAGGGATACAGAGAGCAGCATGGCAAGCATCTGACTATCTTCACACGCAAGGTCTAAAAACCTCAACAGAAAAATCTGCACTGGTGGCCTTCACGTGCAAGGCGATGACAAGTTACCCGATAAGCAGTAATGGCCAGCCCATCTCTTACAAGCATAGCGATCCTTTTCTAGGTGAGGATGTTGACTACGATCTCTCCTGGAGCCCTCACGTGACTCACTTGAAAGTGAAATCGGTATCTATTGCCCACATCTTGAAAGTCATCGCTGGAAAAAGATGGGGTTCGTCATTGAGCTCCATGCTACACCGATACCAAGCACTTTTTATTGGTGTACTGTGCTACAGTTCTCCTCTGCTTACTAAAACTTGTAAGTCAAACATTCGAGCACTTCAGAGCGTGCAAGCACAGGCACTACGTGTTTGTCTTGGCCTACCACGAACTACCTCAATTGCTGGAACAGTTATATTGGCTCGGGATCGTCCGGTTACGACATACGTCACAAATGACGTGCTTAGAGCACATATTCGGCACATTTCACGTATGGTATAGAGCCATTTAGCATTTCTGCCAGAACAATGACCGCTGGCGTCATTCTCTAAGGTCGTCACCTCCCATTGCGCTTTGCTACCATCCGCGCTTAGCTACCACCCTTGGCACATTCACCTCCCGCCTTGTGGAGCCTACGGCAACCCGACGTGCCCCTTTCCGTCCCAGGAATAAGAAATAGAAAAGTTCTTGCTATTTTGGCCTTCAAGCAAGGAACTCTGGACTGTTTGCACACTTTCTATGCTGACAGAATCCACGTATACAGGGATGGCTCTACCACCCAGACAAGCTCCACTGGCGCCGCCGCCATCCCATCGCAACACATCAACATCACCCACAAACTTTGTCACAGGAGCATATTGACTGGTTCGGAAATTGTTGCCCTGCGAGGTGCCATCAATTATATCAAGCAACAACTGGCTAATCGATGGGCAATATTCTGCGGCTCCAAGGCAGCTCTACAATGTCTTTCGTCGGCACTACGTTGTGGGTCGTACGAACAACTGCCGTGGTAGATCAGAGAAATACTGCACTGTGCGACCGAACAAGAACACAACATTGTGTTTCAGTGGATGCCAAGTCATTGCGGTATCTCTGGCAACGACCTTGCCGATGAAGCAGCCAGAAATGCACATGTAAAAACAAACCCTGTTTCCATGCCTTTATTTAGGATTGACGCGGCTAAATACCTAAGTAAGCTGGCGCAGAACATGACACTCCAGAAGTATCAGTCATCACAGTTCGCACATCATCGACTATATTTTCTCAACCCATCTCTACAACTGCGGCTACCCTCTGTTCTCTCCAGGGAGGAAGGCACAGTGTTGTGCCGTGTGCGTCTGGGCGTATCCTTCACCATCATCATCATCATCATCAGCCTGACTACGTCCTCTGCAGGACAAAGGCTTCTCCCATGTTCCGCCAGTCAACTCGGTCCTGTGCTTGCTGCTGCCAATTTATACCCGCAAACTTCTTAATCTCATCTGCCCACCTAACCTTCTGTCTCCCCCTAACCCACTTGCCTTCTCTGGGAATCCAGTCAGTTAGCCTTAATGACCAACGGTTATCCTGCCTACGCGCTACATGCCCGGCCCAGGTCCATTTCCTCTTCTTGATTTCAGCTATGATATCCTTAACCCTTGTTTGTTCCCTAATCCACTCTGCTCTCTTCTTGTCTCTTAAGGTCACACCTACCATTTTTCTTTCCATTGCTCGCTGCGTCGTCCTCAATTTAATCCTGAACCCTCTTTGCAAGTCTCCAGGTTTCTGCTTCATAGCTAAGTACCGGCAAAATGCAGCTGTTATATACCTTCCTCTTGAGGGACAGTGGCAATCTACCTGTCATGATTTGAGAGTGCTTGCCAAATGTGCTCCACCCCATTCTTATTCTTCTAGTTACTTCAATCTCGTGGTTCGGCTCCGCGGTTATTACCTGCCCTAAGTAGACATAGTCTTTTACAACTTGAAGTGCACTGTTACCTATCTCGAAGCGCTGCTCTCTGCTGAGGTTTATGTTCATTACTTTCGTTTTCTGCAGATTAATCTAAGACCCTTCTTTCTTCTCTGCTTGTCTAACTTCGTAATCATGAGTTGCAATTCGTCCCCCGAGTTACTCAGCAATGCAATGTCATCGGCGAAGCGCAGGATACTAAGGTACTCTCCATTAACTCTTATCCCTAACTGTTCCCATTCTAGGCTTCTGAAAACCTCCTGTAAGCACGCGGTAAATAGCATTGGGGAGATTGTGCCCCCTGCCTTACACCCTTGTTGATTGGTATTTTGTTGCTTTCTTTATGAAGCACTATGGTAGCAGTTGATCTCCTGTAGATTTCTTCCAGGTTGTTTATATATGCTTCATCGACGCCCTGATTCCGCAGTGTCTGCATGACGGCTGATATTTCTACCAAATCAAACGCCTTCTCGTAATCTATGAAGGCTATGTATAGTGGTTGGTTATATTCTGAGCATTTCTCTATTACCTGATTGATAGTATGAATGTGGTCAATTGTTGAGTAGCCTGTTGGAAATCCTGCTTGTTCCTTTGGTTGATTGAATTCTAATGTTTTCTTAACTCTGTTAGCAATTACCTTTGTAAATAGCTTGTATACTACGGAGAGCAAGCTGATCGGCCTGTAATTCTTCCAAGTCCTTGTCATCTCCTTATGTATCAAGATAATGTTAGCATTCTTCCAAGACTCTGGTACTTTTCCCGTAAGGAGGCACCTTGTAAACAGAGTGGCTAGTTTTTCTAACACAATCTGTCCTGCATCTTTTAGCAGATCTGACGTTACCTGATCTTCACCAGCAGTTTTACCTCTTTGCATGCTCTCCAAGGCTTTTCTGACTTCTATCATTACTGGTGGGGTGTCATCCGGGTTACTGCTAGTTCTTATAGTATTAAGGTCGGGGTTGTCCCTGCTACTGTACAGGTCTATGTAAAATTCCTCCACTATTTTAACTATACTATCCATATTGGTAGTTATTTTGCCTTCTTTGTCCCTTAGTGCATACATCCGATTTTTGCCTATCCCAAGTTTGCTCTTCACTGCTTTGACGCTTCCTCCGTTGACTTGGCTTGCCTCAATAAATAAGGTTATGGCATTAAACGTTGCAAAGTTCAGGTTGCAATGGCGGCCTGTCCGGATCCTGAAATTCTTAGCACCCTCTGCTGCGTTGCAGATCTGACCTCCGCCGTAGTCATTTGCTTTGCGGCTGCTGGGGACTGAGGGTCGTGTGTAGACATATGCATGTGGGAGGTAGTGGCCAGATACTGCTCCAGGGTTGCCAATCCTTCTTTGGTGAGGCAGTGCGTTATCGGCGGTGGTCACCAGTGAGGCCACATCCAAGGCCTCTTAATGCAGTTCAATCGCCACGCGAATTTTCCTTTTTTTTTTATCCTGTTGGGAACTGTGCGGCACCGGGATTCGAACCATTGCCTACTCATTTGAGATTGGGATGGCCAACAGAGCAGAGTGCAACGACTGCGTCATCGATGAGACTATTAAACACCTCTTATGTTACTGCCTGGCATACACAAACGAGAGGCTTCACCTACGCAGTGTTCTAAATCACCTGGACAGAAGTGATTTCACTGTCCAGAAAGTATTGGGACCATGGCACTGCACATCCCAATGCCAAAAGGCAACGAAAGTGCTGCTGCATTTTCACAAAGACACCGGCCTGTTTCATCGTTTGTGATGTGAAACTGTTAAGCATTGGCCCAGTCAGTGATCTTTTCCTCCTCCTCAATAACTTTCCTTCACCAGTGCAGGGTAACCTACCGGGGCTCAGCCCTGGTTAACCTCCCCTCAATTTTCCTTATTTTCACTCTCTTTGGCATCATATTTGAAGACTAAGAAAAGTCACATGTCAGGTTTTCATTTCTTCTGCACTTTCTTTCAAGCCTTGGAAAACTACAACCGTGACAGTGTTCACACAACCTATTGGGATACTTCTTGAATACTCCCGGCAATTTTTTTGTTGGAGATCATCAGTACATTACACAGCATTCTTAACTTTCCTTAAGATCACAGCACAAAATACTTTGAGCTACAAGAGAAGACAATGAGATATATAATGTGCGCTGCCAATTACAAACATGAATATACAATGTGGTTACATTACCACAGTGTGCCTATATTAGCTTTTTTTTGTAAATTACAAATAACCTATACATGATACCAGTACACAGGGTTATAAAGACGAGAAAAAAACTGATTGTTTATTATACGAGAGTATTAAATGAAATCGGTTCACACAATGCGCATATTCACAGAACATTCATCGTCGCATGGCGAGAGACACACGTTCAAGTGTCTTAAAGTAGTCCTTCAACTTGTGGTCGAGTTTCTGATATTGGCTTTCCATGTTGGCCGAGCTCTTCAGTGCCACGAGGAGGCGGTCGAAGGTTGTGTGAGGCAACCAGACAGGAGGGGAGCTGGCATGCAGAGACGAGGTCAAGCCAAAGTATTCTTTTCCTTTTCCCAGCACAGCATCTATGTACTCAATCGATATGTCTGTTGCCTTTTCCAGGCGCGAATACGCGATCAGAAGCCGCAGGAGCTCTGGAGCGTCGCGCTCCTTGTAGGATTCGATCAGCCAAGGTGGAAGCAAGAAGCCGTTGCACAAAAGTTTGCTCGCAACGAGGCGATGGTAACGAGTTGTCCCACGCTCCTTCTCGTACTGCTTGAGGTAGTGTCGAAGTAGGAGCCATGCCTGTCCAGGAATGTCTAGCACTGCCTTCGGATTCTCTATGATCCACTGCGGATTGATCGCCCTAGCACCCTGGATCGTTTGCACAGGTAAGCTTCTTAAGCAATGCTGGACGACACCCTCAAACACGGGATCCAAGTTCAGAGAGAACTGCTTGCAAATGTGAATGGCAAGGTTGAAGTAGCCGGCGCCCACCAGGAGGAGAACGGTTTCGTCGGGAGAGAGCGGCAAGGTTATGGGGTCCCTGCTAGAGCCGCTGAGCAGAAGCCACGCACGCACCAGACTCAACTTGCGCCGCATGTCTTCAACTTGGATGACCTCCACTTTCCTGGTCAGTGCATGCGGAATCTCTTCACCGGTGCTGTCGCGCTTTGGCGACCTATCTGCCCTGCTAACGGGTAGGGGCATAGCAACCCAGGCATCTTCAGACTTCACAAGCAGCAGGCAGTTGATAGCAGCAAGGAGACACAGTTCTTGCTGCTTGAGGGCTTCCAGTGTGCCAGCTTCCTCCTGAAGCCGCAAGGCGTGCTCGTACATTGCCGATGCAGCTCTGCGATACTTCTTTGCATTGACGTGCATGCAATAGAGAACATCATAGTAACGCTGTTCCAGAGCATCAGTCGCTCTAGCCCGTGTCTCCAGGATGTGGATAACATCACTTTCAACGCCTTTGAATGGGAAGTTGACCAACGTCGAAAGCTGACCCCGTTCGCACAACACAATAACTAACTGTTGCAAACAGTTGTTGCGGTGATCGGCAATGGGATTCTGTATCATGGCATGATATGCTTCGGTGATGTGACCCAGCTGTAGTTGGTGCTTAAAAAGCAGTGACCACAGCACTGGGACATGGGGGTCATCCCTGGGCGTGCGCTTCAGAGCTGCTTCTGCCAGAGTGATTATGCAGTCGGGGGCATCTGTGAATGCCTTGATCACATGTTGATAGTACAAGGGCAGCAGGGATTGTTCAGGCGATGCATCGCTGCTTTTCAATCTCTGAATCTGCTGCATTATGTAAGGTTCTGTGGGAACGTGCTCGTATGCCAGCTTTGATAAAGCATGCAAGCCTTGTGGTACTCGTGACACACTAGAAAGCTGGTGGCTAGAAGGTACATTCTTGTCTCTCGATTGTTGCTGCACCACTCTGCCAACAGCCGCACATACTCTTGCAACTGAAGATGCTGACCGAGCTCTAGCAAGGACCTCGGGAAAACACAGTTATCCGAAAGAGGCCAGATAAGCTCTGCAACTGCGGATATGAATGACGGAAGGATGGGCGCCCAGATTTGGTTTGCCACAGGCAGGCCCTTTTCAGAGAGTTGTCGCCTCACCGCTTCTCCACCTCCATTCCTCAGGAAGATCCACACAAGGCCACACTGTTCTGCATTCTGGCTCATGACGCCAAAACCATCGGCACTGCTGCTTATGGACATCCCTTTGATGCCTCCTTCAAGGAGATTTGACAGAGGGCCGCCTTCGGCTTCTGTGACCCACAGGGCTGCAAAGTACGCTCGCACAAGTCTTTGCGTCTCGGGAATAAGCTTTCGGCCGATTAGGCTCAGGTGACGGCCTAAAGCACCCCTGCTCTGTCCAGCAGCAACTATCAGACCCTGCAGCACTAGCAAATTTCGGCAAAATGTGAAACGAAACTGCATCACTTGCTGCACACACGCGGACATGAAACCGCAGCCAGTAGCACTCCCAAACAGACAGTGCCACGCATTGGAGTTGAGACCTTGTGGTCTTGTGCATGGGTTCACTTCTGAAAGGTCCATGGAATCAATAAGATTTTTAAGTGATGGCAGGTTAGTGTGAATGTCATCAATGATTTTTTTCACTACGACGCTGTACTCCAAGCTCAGGAGGTGGGAAACCACCCTGTCAACCAGGCCTTGAATGTCCTCCATGAAATACAGGCCCTGCGAAAACTCAGCCACCACGTCTTGAGTCAAGCATGAATCGATCATCTTGAGGCAGGACACAATTATCTGCACACCTTCATCTGCCACTTCACTGCACCAAGGTGGAAGTTCTTCAGAGAGCATGCAGCTCTCTTGCCATTCGCATGGCCTCAGCAAAGACAAGTGGTCACGTCGAATGAGGGCTGCCATCCCCGTGTTTGGGTCCACGAACAAACCTAGTGGTTTCAGGCCAACTGCATGATACTCCGAGCAGGCGTAATCAAATTTTCCCCAGTGATGTAAGGCGAGGTTCACATAGTCCTGGTCACTAAGCTCAAGCTCTCCAATGCCAGCACGAATTTCTGCGTCAACGGTAGCCATGATTTCCTCTTTTAGATTACGACTGCCGTGATCATAAGAGTGCTCTGCACGCCGGGCGTACGTGCTCAGTACTTTACAAAGGGTGTTGAAGGAGTAGACATTTCGTCCAATGATTTTCTCGATGTAATGCTCTCGCGGGTCCAGTGGGGCAGGCCCATAGTCCCTATCTGGCAGGACACTGGGCTGCAGATGGACGCCGGCCCATTTGCCGCTGGGACTGTCCAGCGCGTCAATGCACACGGTACAGACGAGCGGCTCGTCGTTTTGCTGGACCCACAGGGTCCATAGAGTCGGACCCATCAGACAGAAGTCGACGAGGTCGTTCTCCGGGGCTCGGACGCTCGCCAGGAGAACCATCTTGTGGCCTCCGCCCTGAGGCTGGATCGGCTGAAAGACGAAGAACTGGTTGCCCTCCGGAAAGCACGCGTACACTCCGAGGTAGACGTCGATGCCCGACGACGAGCTGTCGGTCGCCTTCACCATGCACGACTGGCGGCCGCCGAGTCCCCACGAGGTGGACTTGGACGCCGGCCAGTGGTCCAGCACGGAACACACGGAGAGCAAGTCTTGGCTCCTGTACGACCACTGCCGGATGCGCAGGTCCTTAGACAGGGCGAAGATGAAGATGTCGTCGTCCGCCTGGTGGCACACGAGACTGAGCGACGCCTCGTCTTCTCGCATCGACGCCGGCAGGATCCCGCTCAGAAAGCGCGTGACGCTGGCGCTCTTTCGAATCTCCATGGTGGACACCTTGCCACCCACGTCCTGCGGGTCGATGGACACCACGAAGAGCGAGGAAGTGTTAGTACCGAGCACGAATATCGCCTCGCCGTTGGCTCCCAGCCAGCTGCACGAGTTGTTCGACAGCGTGGTGCCGAGACCGGCGTGGTTCAGCTACGTGGTAATCTCTAAGCAGCGTGGCCGACGTGTCGAAGAAGACGGAGCGCATGCTGCACGTCGAGGTGGACCCGACGTTTGGATTCAGCAAGCGAGGGTGCGGAAAGGAGAGTCGGTGCACGCTGGCGATGGTTGCCGCGAGAACGACGAGGTTGTTTCGCGTCTCGAAGATGGACACGCCTTCCAGCAAAGGCGTGTGCTGGAAACGCAGGCGCAGCCTGTTCCCGACGAGGTCGACGTCGAGCGATTCCTCGGCTAGCTCCAAAACGTTGTGGTTGGTCTTCCAGTAGATGAATCGGTTGCGCGTGGCTACACCCGACGCCGGGTCCTCTTGGTAAGCGTAGCCTCCGGCTCGCTCCGTGAGCTTGATGTCTTCGAGCGTGCTCTGCGCTGCACCCGTGTTGATGGTGAGTTCTTTCCATTTCGGCGGTGAGGTCTCACGCAAGGGGACCTCGACTAATTTGACGAATTTGCTACCTACGAGCATTGTGAAGCGCTCCTGTTTGGAAACGTTCCATGCGTCCAACCCGCGCGCGCTGGTTAATAGGCCGGCACTCTATGCAGCTTATTGTAACAAAAACGTTGCGGCGCTAGTAGACAATCACTGCAATGAGCACACATGTGTTTCTTACAGGCTGTCAAAACATTTCAAAATACACTATAAATTATGAGTAAAACAAGCGTTCAACTAGCGTAAAGTATTTAGTATAAAGATAAAATATACTTTTTGTACATACATTGTGGCGCGTCGAACGTTCGCTGCAGCCTGCAGCTTGTCAATGGCGGCTGCAGCAGCAACTAGCAGCTCGGTAAGCTCCGCGAATTTCTGTTTGTTAGAGACGTTTTATTCTCCGCTCCGCGGTAGCAAGTGTATTTACAGTGCATTTTGAACGGCGGCGGCTGCATTTCCGATGAAGGCGGAAATGTTGTAGGCCCGTGTGCTCAGATTTGGGTGCACGTTGAAGAACCCCAGGTGGTCGAAATTTCCGGAGACTACGGCGTCTCTCATAATCGTATGGTGGTTTTGGGACGTTAAACCCCGCAAGTCAATCAAATCAGTCAACAAGTGTATTTATCAACCACTGAGCGATCTGAAACTTGTAATGTGAATTGGTTCACATTCTCTTTGCTGTGAATTGTTTTCGGTCGACGCGTTCGTGCAGCCGCGGTTCGAACAGCTTGTCAAGTGGTCGTTCTATAATATGCCTTCGTGATTTCACGGCTCGCGTCTGTGCTAGCGTTTTGCGTAAACCGAGTCGCGTTTCTTCTAACCTCACTTATTTTCTCTCGCGCCAGCAGAACTCCAGCAGCACTGGTGGGAGCAGTAACCAGGGTCAGGAGTTCATAGTCCGGGTACCCAAGTAAGTGGAGCGTTTCTCGCGTGTGTAGGTTGCACTGATCGTCCGTGTCGCGCGGCTCGATCGCGTGGCAGTCTGTCCTGTCGCACGCTTCGACGTCTCTTTTTTTTACGCGCAGTATTGTGGCGTTTCATCCAGGCAAACCAAGAAAAGGTATCATGTCATGCGGTTCAATGCAGCGCACAAACAAGACATATCCAAGTGGATGCAGGTGAGATGCATGCTTTCGTGTCGGTGCACCCGTCTGTGTTTCGAGGCTCTGAACCTTGCGGTTTTGGTGAAAAACCACTAAGTGAAGTGCATTTGCACATGCGAGTATGTAATACACCCTCAGGCTCATTTTGTGGTTGCCTTAATGTACTCCGTGTTATAGTTCTTGCAATATGAACTAGTGCATGGCGTGGTTACATGTGGAGGCCGAGTAAAAAAAATAAAATAAATTATATGTTGCAGCAACACTGTGAAATTTAACCGACCATGTTGTGCAGTTCCTTATACATTCTTCCTATTTGTTTCACGTTTCATTGTTTTTTTTACTTCTGGGCTTTTTCATTTTATTTGCAGCCCGTTGTGGCACTTCCGGGCTCAAGCTTGTGTGCACATTTGCGACAATGAAACACAGAGAGAGGTCCATTTAGGGAACTTCTTGTGCAGTTTTCACATCATTGCAGGCTGTGTATGAAACTAATAGGGTGTAGCTCTGAAGAAAGGATTGATGATTATTTCAAAAAGAGTGTAGCCACTAGTCTCTTGACATACTGGTGGGCTATACTCGGCAACAAATTTTCTTGGCATTAGAGCGAAAGCTACAGAGCCAAATCGTGGGCATCCTACTGCCAGTGAATGGCCCAGCCGCGGTGGTCTAGTGTCTAAGGTACTCAACTGCTGACCCGCAGGTCGCGGGATCGAATCCCGGCTATGGTGGCTGCATTTCCGATTCAAGCAGAAATGTTGTAGGCCCGTGTGATCAGATTTTGGTGCACGCTAAAGCACCCCACGTAGTTGAAATTTCCCGAGCCCTCCACTACGGTGTCTCTCGTAATCATATGGTGGTTTTGGGACGTTAAACCCCACATATCAATCAATCAATCTACTGCCAGTGAATGTAGTTCTGCAACAGCGCCCATATTTACGATGTTAAATATAAAAGTTCCTCTTGTATTTTCTATGTGGAGCTATTTGAGACAGGACGCAGCTCACAGCATTATGACATTTGTATTTTCTTAAATTTAGTCGTTGTGACTTTGTGTTTTAGAACGAGCTAAAAAGTCCCGCCTTTTTACGTGCACCTCAAATGCTAAGTGGCATCTGCGTCTTCACGAAACGCTGATGGTGCACCCCCGTCACTTTCCACAGCGTTACAAGACGCGCGCCAAGACAGACTGCTGCGCGTAGTGCTACGGGCACGGGAGCTCCGCCTCCTTAGCTTTCCCTTGAGGGCCGAGAATGCTACGGGCACGGGAGCTCCGCCTCCTTAGCTTTCCCTTGAGGGCCGAGAAAAGTTGTCGCCGAGCATAGTTGGTCCCTGATACCTTATCGCTGTGCACATCAATAACAAGGGCGAAGTGGCACATAGGGAAAGACATAGGCATCGGCAATTACACCTATCACCTTCTTTATGTACATTTCATCTTCTGTCTTGAATGCACACTGCCATAAGCCACTAATTCCTGGCTGCCATAAGCCACTGGTTGCTCTAAGCCACGAGGTTCAGCGGAAAGAGGGGGGGGGGGGGGATCATTGTAACGAGGTTTTGTTGGTTGTGAGGCGAGTTGTTTTAGACCAGGTTTGCCATAGACTTTTTTGTGCCTTCAGGTTCGCATGGAGAGGGAGAATAACATGAAGGAGTTCAAGATGGAGGACGAAATGCCCAAGTTTGGTGCGGGCAGCGAGTTTGGCCGGGACCAGAAGGAAGAGGCCCGACGCAAGAAGTACGGCATCATCATGAAGAAGTACAACCCCGACGACCAGCCCTGGCTCCTCAGGGTCGGAGGCAAAGGAGGGAAAAAGTGAGTGCCTGGACCTTGGTGGTTGTGGTACTCGACTGCTGACCCGAAGGTCGCAGTATCGAGTCCAGGTTGTAGGACCGCATTCCAGTCGAAGCGAAATGCGTAGAATTGGGTACGTGTCAAATAACGTCGGGTTTTTAAAATTTCTGGTGCCCTCCACAGCAGTGTCCCCCATGATTATACAAAACCTCAACAGGTATTATACTATACTAGATTATGCCCTATACTAGAATATGCTTCGTGTGTCTAGAACCCGTATAAAACATGCGGTGTCAACAAAATTGAATCTGTACTAAGGAAGACGGATCGTTTATTTGCCATCGCTATTATCGTAACTTTCCACCTTCATCTGCAATGAATTCCTTGAAACTCCCTCTCCTATCCACCAGACGGGATATCGATTCCTTGAAGCTATTGCACTAATTTATTTTTACTTTTCTTGTTGACTATCTTCAGATGATTACATCTCATCTGCTAATACTCTTTCAACTAGACATTACCACAGCCTCAAATTGAAGCCTTTCTTTACGCACACAAACATTTTCAAGAACAGTTATTTTTCTAGAGTCATTGAAAAGTGGAACGAATTACTCGGTAGTATTTGTGAATTGTCGTCTGATTTTGTAGATGCACTGTTACAATAAGTAATTGTTTCGTTGTTTCTTTTTTTTTAGCTATGATGCCAACCTTTTAATCAGCTTATTTTGTTCATGTAAATGTACCCCACACCTGAAGTAGCCCTGTATAGGGCTGCAAATTTGAAGGTAATATTTAAAAAAATTGCTGATTCTAGCCGCAGGGTCCGTGGCCAGTTTTGCTCATAATATCCCGATTTGGGCTTCTTTTATGCCCAAGTCACTTGTATAATTTTCCTGTTGCTTGTCGTGTTTTCTGGACTAGTTCGCGCTTTCCTGCCAATACTTTAGTACTCATCACATTCAAAATAGCATGTTTGTGTGCCACTGTGTAGTTGAGTATTGAAGTCATCTGTTGTTCATGCACTATCAAACATGCATTAAACTAAGTGGTGACTGCCCTGGAGACGATGTTAAAAATTAAAAGCAGTAAAAGCTTGTTAATTCAAACTTGTGATCAATTCGAACGGACGTTCTCGTACCGCCACGGCCCTGTGTATTTCTAGCGGGGAAAAAACTCTTGGTAGTTCGATTGTATCGATAACCACAATGGTTCATTCGAATTGAGAGTCCACTGGCTTTCATCCCTCTTACAGAAGTTGGCCCAGAGTGATACCAAACCAAACTAAATTTTCTAGTGATTCAAAACAACAAAACAGCAGCATTTCTCTGCAGATGAGAATTTGGACACTGTGCAAGAGCTATTTCACAAGCTGCAAACAATGTTGATTGAGTGTCGCGACAGAAGTACAAGCAAATGCATATTACTGATTACTTTTAATTTTGATTTTGCTGATCTGCTATGTAAGTGAACGTGCTTTGGAGCATAAATAACGTTATAATATTTCAACGTTAAGGCTCACTGCTCATGTGAAGGCATGTTGGTGCTTGTTTCTGGCGTACTAGTGACTGATTGCTTCATTCTGCTTGCTGTTTGAGGTTCATATACTTAATTTACGAAATCACCTGCCACAAATGCATAGTATCGCCTAATTCACACTAACGAGCCCAAAGTGGCTCTGTAGGATTCTGCCTATGCGATGTGGCATGGCGTCAGTTCATTCTAGCGCCCGCCTAGTAATACGAACTCTGCCTAATTACAAAATATAGTTCCTTTATAAAATTTTTTTGCAAATTCCTGTACAAAATTATTAGTTTTCACCTTCCATCATGTTTCAGTGACTTTATTATTACTATAACTAAAAATATTTTCAAGAATTAGAAAACTTTGTAAGCTTCCACTTCTTCTGACCTTCTTTACAAAGGTCGCGTCGCTTTTTTGGGGGGTATTTTGGAAAAGTTATTTGCTTGTCAGCTCGGTAGAGTTTGGCAACTCCCACTGTGGTTGATGTGACGGTTCTGGTGTAGCCTTGTGATATGCAAGGTCATGGGTTTGACTCTCAGTTGTGGTGGCCACATTCCATTGAAGACAAAACACAAAAGATGTCGGCTATGGTGGCACTGTTTCCCGCCATGACTGTCTGCATGCACACTGTGCACACTTCTCGTCGAACTGTGTAACTGTG